CTGATCCTTCACCTCCATTAACTCGATTTTTCGGGCACAGTGGTTGTAAACCTAAAGACACATCGATCGTTCACATCAGAGATGAGATGCTTCCTGTGTGCAAAGAGGTGCGCAACCGTAGAAGTGTCTCGATTTCGTTGAACGAATGTGTGTAGCAAGGAAGCTAGAGGCTCGTGATTGTAGATTGTTCTCTGGAGTCCGCCGATCGTTCAATACGCCATACCATTACGTGATATGCGTCGCTCCCCGCGCACCCTTACCGAGACCGAGCTCGCTGGGTTTAGGCAATGGGGACGATTGCTGGAGGTGGGCGGTTATAGCCAGTGTCATTGTAGGTTACTGTTGGAAGGTGTGCGAGAGCGCATTTCGTCACACGCCACTCAGCCCTTCTACCAGTAAACGTTGGCGACAACTGCCCCCTCCCCCTCCCCCGCAACCGCGCCCACTGCTTTCGAATCCGGCAGGAATGATTCGAGATATCCTTAGATGCGGAAGCTGAAATCGTTTTTCTGTGGGCTTTACTGCCCCGGTCAAACCCAGTGAACACTATCCTGCTGAATGGGCGCGCATAATATTACGTAGTGGTATGGCGTACCCCACTGTGGGCCGAGACATAGGACGACCAAACAAGTTACAAGCCTCTGATTGCCTTGTTACGCACTCAAAAGTAGCGGGAGTGCCATACTACTGCAGCTGTGAGCCTGTCAAAGTTATATTCGGAACGAATCCGTAATCCTGTAGTGTGTCTTTGTGAATTCTCTTGGACATTGGTCGCCTTCCTCAAGTCAATGTACAAGCCAAATTCACAACAAATACCTCCGCAGATCGAAAAGCGCGTTCATACTTCGCGACCACTGAATCGAGCAGTTGGACCGCTTGAGAGACATGCAGTGCAGGGCTGCTGCCCACTGATTGGCGGTCGGGCGCCCCCGGTCGCGTTCTTAACGGTCGAGCAATAAATATCGCGCCATCCAATCGATTTGATCGCGAAGTATGAACACGCTCCAAATAATATTCAGAAACATGGTGTGCAGTAAAAATGTTGATTGAATTGCAGCACTTGATCCTTAATGTTGTTTTCTAACAACCAACAAACTCTTTACTTTCAGAGGTACGAATGGACCAAGCTGCATACGCGCAATCGGCGATGCTACGTCTGGAAAATCTTACATGGAATGGATTATGCGCACTGATCTGAAAGGAGGCCTTCCAAGACGTTTGATTCAGTCAACAATGCTCACATACTTCATTGATCATGTTACTCGTTTACGTGAGTATATCGATAGACAGTCCGTAACAACTGCAGCGAGCTGAGTTGCTGTACATTTCGTATTTTCTGTAATTTGCCCAGATGCAAGTTGGATTTTGTAATGCTAACGTTTTCATTGGCATTAAATTGGCATTCATAGCATTATTTTGGCTCGCATAGTAGGATAAGCGCTTAATGAGAGCTGACATTCATTTAAAATTCACTTCTGTACCTCGTCGTTTTCCCTTCCGAATACTTCATTTGTCCATGTGGTGAGTTTCTCTAACGATTGATGGAGGAATGAGTTGA